AAAACTAGAAAATGCTTAATAAGAATCCTGTTATTTTATTAAATATGGGTTGAAATGTTTGAAGCTTAGACTTTTTAAATTGAAAGCTTCACTTTTGTATTGCTGATGAAGATACTTTAAAGGATCCAAACTATAGACATTCTTTGACAGTAACAAAAATGGACTTTCTTACATCTTAGGCTCTGGGCAGAATTGTGATTGTCCTCCCATCGGAGAGAAATCAAATTTAATATTTGCGCATATGGGGTTTTACTACATTAGGATGTCTGCCTATGTGTTCAGAATAAACAGTTAAGTTTTTCAGGTATCGGGCCTGCTCCGATTATACTTGCTAGTTGTCCTAAGAGTACCTTCTCTTTTTGACAGATTGAAACCATGCAGTTATAATTCAAATTCAGGCAGGTAATGAACAGGATTTAAAAAAACAAAAGCACTTTGTTTTGAACTAATTTTAGAGTTTAAAAAATATTGCAAAAATACTACAGAGAGTTTCCTTATACCTTTAGCTCCCGTCATTTGATAATTAACATCTGACATAACCAGGTGTCAAAACTGGGAGATCAACATTTGTACAGCACTATTAATGGACTTACAGACCATCTTCCAATAATTGCTCCAGTTTTCCCACTAATCCTTTTCCTGTTCCAGGATCCTGTCCAGGCTCCCAGTTTGCATTTACTTGTCATTTCTTCTTAGTCTTTCCCCATCTTTCCTCGTCGATACTCTCAAATGTCTTATTGCTGGTAAGGTTAACGATGGTGCCACCACTGTGAAGTAATTTGTCTTCCCTTTTATAATTAATAAATAGCTTGGGGAGCTACCTTGAAACTATGAATTTTTAAAATTTTGTTCAATTAAGTAAATCTTAGGTGCTGGTTTGTGGACACAGATTTGAGTCATTTGAATTTATGAATCATGAGGAAGCATTCACTACCTTGAGCAAACAAGATTGAATTAGTACACAGGGTTTTTGCATCCATTAATAAATTGTCATTTTACCAGCTTTCTCTTTTAAAAAAGGTCTTTGTGTTAAGAGTGCTTTGTTCAGTATTTATTAGAACTAGAACTGTGTTAACTTGGACACTTGAGTGCCTGTAATGCAGCATCTTCCTCTCCAAGGAAATATGATTCACTCAGTCATAGGCCAAAATCCTCTTAAGAAGCAGCTCCCTTCTCTGCAGGCACTTGCACAAACCCTAGAATCAGATTAGATACTGGGGCAATAGCTTCTGTGAGGAAGTCAGCCATGGGTTTACAAACTTGTATGGATTGGGAGCACTGCATCGGTCCTGAGTGGCTTTGTGAAAGAAGGTGGGGCTTCAATGGCGTCTCTTGAGGTGAAGAATAAAGGGCCTGGGTTAAGTTAGGTTCAGATATAGATTTATTTTGACCTATTTATTACTTTAAGCCATTTCAGGTTTTCACTCCAGTTACTAGAAGCACTTTTTACCAAGTTGAATTTCTGTCCTTAGATAGCTAAACCCTTCCCTGAGCCAAATTAATAAAATAGAATTTCTTATTAAGAATGAATTATTAAGTAAAATGGAAGCACTTGGCTAGGAAAGCAGTTGATGCATTTTGTTTTCAAAGCCTTCAAAGTGCTGCAGTGTACATAGATCACAAGGACTGGCTTAAGTGCCAAAGCATGGGGCATTAATTTTCTTTCAGAGCTGATTCCATGTTCTCAGGATATCAGAAGTGCTGACTTGGCAGTGAAATCCCATTTGTAACATGTTAGATTAGGAAACAGATTGATTTATACATTGATATAATGGATCAAGGCACAGCGTGTGCTTAAGAAAATGGAGAGCACATTAAATAAGAAAATTTTCAAAGTAAAGAAGTACAAACATAACAGAAAAAAAGATCCTAGTATACTCTAGATAAGGTCAGGGTATGTTTGATTAGTTGATTCCTAGACATGGTCCACAGAGGCTTTTTATATTTCAGATGATACCTTCTTGAGAGTCTCTTATGACCACAAGGATTAATCTTTCTGAACTCAGAAGTGAATCACTATAGCATATTAGCTGTCTGGAACGATTCCAGTTACTCTCTTTTTTCTTAGTGGTAACTGATGTGAGGAGCCTTCGCTGCTTAGCTGCCTCTTCCTGTTGCTTTAACCTCTGGTATTTTAGATTCTCTTTAGGGAAGGTAATGCTGACCATCTCAGCACAAAGATCAAATGCACTTACCACTGCTATATTGACCTCAGTGGTTGACCCATAAACTGAACATTTATACAGTTGGAACTCTCGTGGTCTTTTAGCCAACGACCATAATGAGTAACACGTGGAACACAGTCTTTGGTGCTGATAAATGGGTGCCTGCACAATTTTGACCACTCCACAGCTGTGACTTGGGTGACCTCACATAACTAACTGACCCCATGTCTTACCTGTATTCATTTTTGGAATTTAAGAGGTAAATGTCCCTCTACTCCCCATACTTCTGAAAGGTTAGACATCACATCCAAATTCTTACTTGTTTAATAGCTGCCTTTAATTTTAATATAAGGCCACAGAGAATTTAGGAAATACTGCTCACCATCTTTCAGATTTAACTGCGTTCACATATAACTGGTTTGGGAAACACTTCTAAACTGTCAGTTTGGCTTTCTTGCTTACATATATATCGTGTCTTCCTGGATTTTCTTCATTTATTTCTGTCTGAGCTTTTGAAGTAGGAAGGAAAGAATTTGGGGAGAGCACTGGTTTCAACACACAAAAGTGTTCCTGAGGTTTCCTTGCCTTTGTCTCTGTGTGTACACATGTATATATACCCTGTTTCCTCTATATCATAATCAGTGTTTCTCACCATAATCCTTAGATATGGCTCCCAAAAGAGGGTGACCAGCATGAGATATTTTGGTGCATGTTTTGAACTTATTGTGAAAATTAACACATTTGTCTTGTGCATCCTTATACCTTTTAATGATTGCTTTTGATTAAACATCATTCAAGTATTACCTATAAATAAGTGTGTGTTCCTTTTTGCAGATATCTTTAAAAATTTGGGGGGAGTTGCGGTTTAGGGGGTAGACAGGACTTCACACCAGTCTAACTTCACATGCAGTTATACTAAAGGCATAGGATCTGCCTTTCAATTTAATAAATGATTATCGTCACAGTAGGGCTACAATAAATACTACTTAATAAAGTTGCTAATTGTTCTCCTCATTGGATTTAATTGGTGTTTTTCAACCTGAATTTACCTAGGCAACATTTTACTTCCAAACAAGCTTTTCCCTAGCTACCCAACAAGTGTTTGTGCTTTCTTCTCGTGCCTAGTAAGAAAGCAGGCTAATTTTCATAAATTTCAAAGCAAAACCTGTAGGATGGTAAATTTATCCTGGAAAAAGATCATAATGTATTTCAAAATCATATGTAGGCTCCTGATTGGACTATTTATTCATGTCTGTCATCCAGCAGCATAAATAAGAGTTGCTTAGAAAGCATACATTTTCATATATTTCAAGTCAAATCTATCCTTTCTGTTACAGGAAAACCATTTTATGTTAATTGCTCTTTTTAAAAAGAATGATAGACCATACAATTTAATCCTACCCTGCTTCCCTCAAGTTTTAATATTGAAAAAAAGCTGTTTAATTTTTATTTTGAAAGAACTTTTGCATCAGGGAAGACCACAAAACTCCATTGTGGATGCAACAATTAATGTTGGTGTATTTCTAGATGCTAGGATGCCTTTGTTTTTTTCTAGTGGGAGAGACTTGCAGGAGCTTTACTGTCATCAAGTCTAGATGTTATTTCTCATCTGTAACTTGCGAGCTGTTAATAGCTATGATCTTTCGCAAAGAAGTGAATATTAGTCAAAGAAAGACTTTATGCAATAAGTAATTGATTACTTTTACCTAACATGAGGTAAAATTGTTTATGAAATTCCTTTCAGGGTTCTGTTTCCATGACTGACACCATCACTCATTGAGTAATGCAAGCCAGACATGACATCTTCCTCTTCCTCACCACCCTTGCTAATCTGTTACTAAGTCTTGTCTCTTTTGCTCCCGGTGATCTTCTGAATCTGTCTCTCCATCATCTTGCCTTAGTCCAAGCTACCAGTATCTCTCTTGGACTTTGCAGCTCCTGCTTCCTGAGCCATTCATTCCCTTGCACACACTTTTGTTTCCCTTCACTTCGTTCTTCACCCTCCAACCAGAGAAAGCATCAGAGCTACATTTCGATGATATAACTTTGTGCTTAAAACCTCTCCACACTTACAGTGATAAAAAACAAAATCTTCTTGGTTCATAGACCATCTAGTCTTGTCTCTGCATGCCTCTCCTTCCTTCTCTACCACACTCTACCTTGCTGTCTACCTTCTCTCTGCATATTATTCTCAAAACTCTACTCAAATGCTACTCTCTTCTGGAAGCTTCCCTGATCACCTAACCCCAGCCTAAGGCAGATTCCCTTTTTATATGCTTTTCCACCGCTATATTCTTTTCCTTCTTAAGAAGTCTAGGAATGTGATCACACTTTTTGGTTGTGAGTTTTGACTCCTGCACGAGGCCGTTAGCCCCATGAGAGCAGGGGCCATAACTTTTTGCTCACCCTTGTGTCCTAAGCGTTTAGCTTGTTGCTTTACATAATAGCTGCTCAATGAAATTTTGTTTTGTGAGCGAATTGGATAAAATTTCTGTAACTTTAGCCATTATATTTTGCTATTTTAAAGAATGGAAAGTAGATTTGCTTGTATTAGGAGACTGCAGTTGGATTACAGTTCCCAGTTCAGAATTATCCAGATGGGGAGTGAGGGGTTAGATTTCCTATTGACCTTTCACTTTGATCATATATGTCCAAAGGTCCTTTTTATTCTGGCCTCCTCCTAGGAAAAGGATTTGTTTATGAAGATAAAAATAGTAAACAATGAAGATTTTTAAAAGATCGCTTCTGCTGTCATAAGCCGCTGAATGACTGACTATGCTTTTGTGCCAGCCTTTTTGAAGTAAACCTGTTTTTTTTCTTCCCCTTTTGTAGGCTCTTGCAGCCAATGCTGGAACAGGATTTGCTGTCGCTGAGCCTCAAATTGCAATGTTTTGCGGAAAGTTAAATATGCATGTGAACATTCAGACTGGGAAATGGGAACCTGACCCAACAGGCACTAAGAGCTGCTTTGGAACAAAAGAAGAAGTTCTCCAGTACTGTCAGGAGGTAAGAGTGTTGCCGGAAAGTTAAAACTGCTTTTTTTCTGTGTCAAGTTTGAACTTCTTTGTCTTAGAAATGGATATTCTATTATTCTCTTTTGACCTAAGACTCAGTGGCTAATGACTGGTGCACCAGGCCTTTTATTTCTAAATGTATGATATGATTGAGATGTCTCGAAAGCTTTGCCTGTGTGGGCTGTGAGCTTTAAGGAAGGAATACTGCAGAAGCTTTAAGGAAGGAATACTGCAGAAGCTTGGCAAGCACCGCAGACTAGAGCCTGGTTCTCTTGGCTGCCCACTTGTTATAGGAAGATGTGAAGCAAAATGTGTCATTTGTATGCTTGTGTTTTCCACTTGCTGTAAATGATCATCTCAGGTCTGATTCAACTTGATTTGGGTCAAAACTTGATCGGGAAAAGGATATAAAATTTTTGAACTTCTTACTTACCAAGACTAGCATATAGGACCAGAGTTGAAGCATTATTCTATAATTTTATTAACAGACATTTCCATAGACTTGCCTCTTAAGTATTTTAGTTCATGAACTCAGCTACTTCCATGTACCCACAAGTGGCCTTGATACCTAATAGATTTATTAAGCTGAAAGCTTAGAGCTTTTTTATGTCCTTAAATAGAAATTCCTTTTAATAGAACGTATTAGAAGTAATCAGAAATTTTCCTGCCACAAGAACACTAATTATTACAGTTCGTTTTTACTTTAAGAGTGTATCTGGAGCCAGGGACAGTAGAGTAGAATGTGAGATTTATATAGGATAATGGTGACACTGACTAAACATAGATATTCTCTTTACTTGCGAGTATGTCTGTTCATTATGGACCAAGTCAGTTTATTGTGGGTATGCTCTTTTCCCTTGCAGATGTATCCAGAGCTACAGATCACTAATGTGATGGAAGCCAACCAGCCAGTCAGTGTGGACAATTGGTGCCGGAGGAACAAAAAGCAGTGCAAGAGCCATATTGTAATTCCTTTCAAGTGTCTTGGTGAGTGTCTTTGGGTACTTCTTAGGGAGTGGAATCCTTCATTTTTAAATTTAATTTTCTCTTGGCTCACAGTGATAGGTCTACATCTGTTAAGCTGAGGGCTGCAGGATTTTATTGTAGGCCTTAATCTTTTGAATATTTATTGCTTCTTCGTGTCGATAGTTGACTTGTTTTCAGTGGTCACTAACTTTCCCTCTCCCGTTGTGGGCATCCTTCTGTCTTTTAAGGATGAGTTTGTTCCTTGGCACTGACTGACTGTGTTGCCCTTAGAACAGTCCAGCTTTGCTTTCCATGGAGAGTGTGCAAGTATTGTTTGACAGTCATAGCAATGAGTGGTACTGAAGCAGCCCAAGGAGTAGAGTTTTCTGTTCCCCCTGCCTCATCCTAAACACATTTTGCAAGGTACTAAAATCATGTCTTGTTAGCCAAACCAAACTTGAGATAGTTTTCAGAAGTGTCAGCTGTCTATGGACAGTCAGGGATGCCGGGGCTAGGCCCTTTGCCACCTGCTATTCTGAGATGTTAACAGTCAGAGCCAACTTGATTAAAACTGTAACATTTATTACCCAGAAACATAGTTGTTGCTTCAAATGCTTATTTAGTTAATGTATTCATTCTAACCACTCATCACTGACACATCTGAATTATACTCATGTATCTGCAGTCTGGGTAATTCAGGAACAGATTCGGCCATAGAAACTTAAAATGGCAAAACAATTGATTTTAGATGATCCATGACAGGACTAACATTGATATTGCATTAACATAGACATCCTACGTAGTTCTGTAGATGTATTTAATTTTAGCCATGAATTTAACTTATTCCCCTCCCTCCACTTCATTAAAACCTTTCTTGAAATGGAATACATTGCTTTTCCTATTCTCACATGTAGCAAAATAACAGGAAGAGTCAGCACCTGCATAACTGTATTTAAAATATGTAGCAATTACTTTGTTTAAAAAGTACTCAGTGGGGGTAAAGAGGGACACTGCATATGCTTATTAACTCCATTTACTTTAAAGGTGAAGCATCATGCAGTAGTGTGAGACTTGGAAAAATTTTTTGTGATGTGGTTTAGGGAGGTTCTTCCATTTGGCTCTAGGAAATCTCTGGGTATGAGGTTTCATTCATTCTCTATAAAATTCTCAAATGAAATGAGAGTATTTTTGAATATTCGTAGATAGCTAGTACTTGGAATCATTTTTTCCTTTTGCATTGTTATCCCTAAATACTTTGTTTGCAGCCTGGTCTTCCCTCTCCTGCATGTTCTCTGTCTCTTGCCGGCTCCACTTCCCACTCAGAACTCTGAGTTTGAGATCTAGGAGACCTTTATCTCTGCACATGCAGTCAGCTTTCAAGCCAGCCTGATTCTTACCTCTTAGATATGGCTTATATCCATGGTTGCCAAACTGTGCACCGAGGCACTCCAGGACATTGCAGCAAACTCATAGAGCATTGTGGGATATTTTTGATTTTCAAGGGAAACATCTGTCCGACATCCTGTGAACTGCTAGCTGGAGCTATGCACAGTTTCAACATTGGATTATTTCATTCCTTTCTATGACCTCATATCTTTGTGGAGCTGTACGTTAGTGGATTCTGTGATAAAAAGCCGGTATCACACAAAATTGCTATAGAAGAAGCAAAGACGATGGTGTTCCGTTGACCGCGACGTTGGAAGAGTTGCGCGGGGCCCAGCAGGCTCTAGGTGTTAGGACACAAGTACTTATTAAGTTGTTGGCCCTAACTGCTTAATGTTTGGGTATTCTTTTGGTCTGTGGGGGTGCTGTGAAAAAATTACTGAGACACTCAGTGCTGTGACTAGAAAGTTTGGAAACCTCTGGCCTATATCCTTCTGCATCTGATTCCCACTGCTCTAGTTCAGCCTTTCATCATTTCCTGCCCAGCTGTGACAATGGCTGGCTTCTGTGTGTGTTTCTTAGTTCTACTGTCCAGTCTATTGCCCTCTTAACTAAAATGAAGATTGAATTGTCTCTCCTGCACTTAAAACTCTTTAGTAGGTTATCTTTACCCAAAACACAGTGCTTCGTTAACCTTCTTAGCATGGGTTAAAATATCCATAATGTGGCCCTTGCTTAGCTCTGTTCTGTCCCCGACACCGCCCCTCTGTGCTTCAGACTTCATCAGCATCTCGTAGCTCCTGGCCTCTTACCATCCAGTTCTTGTTTGGAATGACTTTACTTATTTTGCTTGGGAAGTTCTCCCTTTAAGACTTATCTGATAGAATGTCTCCTTTAAAGGAAGCTTTTCTTCCTGGTCTTATTTTCTGTCTAAATATCCAGATTTCTGAAATTCTCCTTGTTGTTGCCATTAAACCTACTGCACTGTACGTTGATATCTATTTATATATCTTTCTCCAACTGTGTTGTAAATACCTTGAAAACAAGGAACCTGCTTTAGTCTTTCTTGTCCCTTCAGCAGCATGACAGTGCCTAGAACATAGCATACACTCTTTATGATAATTACAGGACTGCATCATAGTATGCAACAAAAATTTAATTTTATTTAATTTTCCAAATGCTATAGTTTGAATTTATCAGTGTTTTACATAATCAATGAAATGATATTGTCCTTAACTAAGTGCTAAAAGACAATTTGACCATTAACCATTCAATACCTTCTTTGCATTGCGGTTACTGAATGAAGCGTTACACAATCTTTGATGACAGTTAAGACAATTACTTTTATTTACACCAGCATTCATTGGGACAGCTTCCTAACCAGTAAGTAGAGCTACCCATTGGTATTTTTAAATGAATACAGTTGCCTGAGCCTAAGCTAGTGAGGACCAGGTGACTGCAGTTTAAGGGAGGTGGTAGAAAAGACTACAAATTCTTTCTTGTCATCATTTAAGGAGTAGAAGATTTTAATATCTCTCGCTCTCCCCACCCAACGTCCCCTTACATTACCATGTAGAACTGACATTAGTTAATAATCAATACCACCTTCTTTTTACCACAGATTCCTTAGAAAGCCTTTTGGTGATTGTCTTTTAGAGTTACTTTTGCCTTTTTCAATTAAAAATAATTTTAAAATAACTTCAGGTTTATAGAATGATTGCCAAAATAGTACAAAAAGCTTTTGTATGCCTTTTCCTCAGATTTCAGATTTTCTGTTAACATTTGATTAATATGATATAATTAATCTTATCATTTGTACCCCCACTAGTTTTTTGTTTTGTTTTTCAATTATTTAAGTTGCAGACATGATGTCCTTTTATCTCTAAATTCTTCAGTGTATATTTAATAAAAACAAGGACATTCTCCCATATAAACGGACTGCAGTCATCAAAATCAGGAAATTATCATTGATCCAATATCTAATCTACAGACCCTTTTCAAGTTTTGCCTGTTATTTTAATAACACAAGATCTCACATTAGTTCTCTCTATAGCCACTCCTTGTCTTCCATGACCTTGACATTTTTATAGAGTACAAGCCAGTTACAGTGTAGAATGCCTGCAGTTTGGGTTTGTCTTATGATCCTTTTGATTTATGCATTTTTGAGGGTACTATCACAGAAGTGGTCTCGCTGCCTCATGTTAGGAGTTGCATGATGTCATTTTGCTTCAGGACTGGTGTTAACGTTTATCACCTGGCCAAGATGGTGTCTTCATTCATCTATTTTATTATGGACTTGTCCAGATTGGGCTAGTGGGAGCCCCTTAATACTGGTTCCTATGTCTTTTTACTATGTCCCTGTCATTCTTTGAAAGCTTCCTTACTTTGTAGTACAAAAAGGTTCTATAGGCTCATCCTGTGTTTTTCCTACCTTACCCCTGGAGTCAGCCATTTTTCCAGGAAGCCCTGGTTTCATTTAGTGGGGAAGGGTATTTGGATTTGCCAGGATCTGAGCGTTAAATTTGCTTACTGCTATTACAGCATTATTGCTTCTAGACCCACTCAGGCAGAGCTAAGAAATATATGTATATGTTACATTCTCACACAAATCTATATTTCTGTATCTCTGTGTATATTTTAACAAAAATGAGCTCATATTGATACCTCAAATTCCATTATCCTCAGTATATATTTTTAACTTTCTCAACATCCTCTTTAAATAATTGGTTTCTCTGCTTTTTAGGACTAGGATTTTTGAGATATAATTCACATACTATCTAATTCACCCATTTTAAAGTATACAGTTTAATGGTTTACAGTACATTCACTGAGTTATGCAACCATACTCAATTCTTTTAACATAAAAACTGTTAAAAATTAATACAGTAAAAAGTGAGAGTCCTATATTTTTTATTCACCAGGAGTAACCACAGTGAGTCCTTTTATACATATTAAGGTGAATACCACACCTTGTGGTAAAAAGATAGTAGTAGTGTGGTTAGCTTCAGCCCTGAAACCACTTTTAGATATTGCTACCTAGCAGACCCAAATCATAGGCAAGCCAGAACGGGGAGGAGGTAGGAACTGGGGAAAAATAGGATGTGTCTGTATTGGTTGGATGGCTCTATTAATTGGTCTGGATGTTCCATGGGCCTTATCTTTGTACGGAGGCACTGTTTTTGTTTGTTGTTTTTTTCGAGGTTGAGAGGAAGGCCGTGTCTTGATTAGCACTCTTGAAAGCAGTTTGAAAATGAATTTAGGTTGCTAGCAATGTTTACATCAAATCTGATGTCATGCTGTCTATAGACGTCTGTGTCCACGTCTTCAGCTCTCTTCTGAGAGCAGGCTTAGTTGCCCATCCTTGTGACTCTTTTAACTGATATGTAGTGTATTTGGTGACCTAAAGTTACAGTTCAGTATTCTCAAAATGAACCTTTATGTTTCACATTACTACTAATTGCCTCCTGTTTATGAAAATTTATCTAAATAATAGGACAATCAGAGTAGGTCAGAGTTGGTGATGTGCAAAGAAGCAAAACTGCTGGTATTTGGGGGGAAGGAGTTAGTCATCTCTGACATTTATATATAAACTGGCTCCTGGACTAAAAGAAGAGAGCTTTGCAGGCCCAGTACTGTTTTTGTATTTGGTTATTTTTGGAAGGAGATTTAGACAGGGAGTGTTACTGTGACGTGACGACAACCAAAGGAAGTTTTTATTCTCGGAAGCTTTGAGGCACAGTCCTCAGCAACTGCACCTTGGTATCTTGGAGCAGCTCACCATTGCAGGTGTCCGTTTGCAAGTCATCGTCTCTCTTTGAATTATCATAGCCCATCAACAGTTCACCCTATTCTTAGTGTGAGTACTTGTGCATGGTATATGTTTCTGCTCGTGAGGATTATTCTGGGTCTTTTAACTTCTCAGAGCCCTATTTACCTTATATGTCTGCTAGGGAGGGCCACCAGACTTCACAAAAACTTGTATTGGTTGGTTAGGTTGATCCTCTTGGTTGCGCTCATTTACAAAAGTCTTTCTCCTACCTTCTTACAACTTCCAAGAGCCCCACAGATAACCTGGTCTTACAATTTGCAGTTGGAGAGTACTTTTGCAGTAGGTTTATTTATAATAATGTGAGTGTTGGTGTTGGAGGCTTCCTCTGTGGGTAAACAGCCGTATTATTTTGAAAGGAATTTCAGCAACTCTGAAAAAGCTCTAAAACTTGATGGCTTCCATGGCCCTGTTGAGGTGTGGTATAAAAGAAAAACAGAATCACAGGGAATGAGTAGAGTGTTGGCAATAAATCATAAATGCAGCTTAAATGGAATCCTTTAGGTTAGGTTTTGTTAAATTGCCATATTCATTGATCAGCTTGTTAAATAGAAAAGCAAAACAATATAGCTTTTTATTTGTCCAGTGACTTGGGAAATTGTGGCCATTATTTATTGTACTCCAACTGATTAAATTGAGGACTGTTACAAATTTGAATAAACTTTTTAAAGCGAGACCAAATCATTTTCAGTGTTCTCTAAAACAGAGTAATACTGATCTGCATAGGTCAGTTTTTTTTCCCAGAAGCTTCTGATAAACAGTTGTAGCAAATTCAAAAAGTAGCAGTGAAATGACAGAACCAAGCTGGGATTGAAATGTGTTCCTCTTTTAGTTTACTTGTTAAAAGTTTATTTTTCAGTAAAAGAAATTGGGGAGAGGGGAAGCAAAAACAGTCATTCCCAGTTTCTGCACTTAGTTAACCATGGGTAACATTTTGTTGTATATGAGACTTTTTTCTTTGGCTACACATTTGTGTGTACTTTCAGTGCATTTTTTCTAAGTGGTATTGCACTACACATTCTCTCCTGTTTATTGTATTTTTCCTTTTTAAGTGGACGTTTATGGAACATCCCCTTAGGGATACATAGATCTTTGAATAAAAGACAAACTTAAGGAGTTAACCAGGCTGAAGGAGGAAGTAGAGGTTAGGGATATGGGATGTGTTTATTTGAGAAATTATTAAACCATCATAAAAATTTTTCCATGTTAAATATAGACATAAACCATATTTTTTTTGACCCCATGGTATTCCACTATATATAGGTACCATTATTTAACTAATTCCCTATTAGTGGACATTTAGGTTGGTTCTGTTTTTTTACATTAAGAACACTATAATAAATATCTTGGTTCACTTATTTCCTTAGAGTATATTTTTAGAATTGGAATTATTGGATCAAAGAGTATTCGTCTTTTCACTTTTATATTTTATTTTTAAATTCAGGGGTGCTCATTTTTTCTTGGTTTTCAGAGGTCAGACAGATTGATTTAGTCACAGAATAGCTAAAGATTAGTGGCACCTAATTTATAGTTAAGCATGGAGTTAATCATTAAAATCTGGCATTTAAAAATGTTTTGATTTTAAACTATTTTAATTTTGAAATGTTTCAAGCATACTAAAAAGATAAAACATAATATGCAGGTCACTCATGCACTCATCATCCTTATTTAAGTTCTTCAACATTTTGCCATGTTTGCTTCATCTCCATCTTGATTTTTAATAAAGGGCTTAGATATTCCACCACTTTTCTTCCTTCCATTTATTCCTCCTTCCCTCTAGAGGTAGCCTCTATACCATGCATCATTTCTCATACATGTTTTTATACTTTGCTACTTACGTATGTACCTATAAACATTTATTTTCATTTTAAAACTTACATCAATGGTATCATACTGTATGTGACCTTTTACAGCTCGCTTTTACTTTATGTCATTTTGGGGTTCATCTGAGGTATGATATAAATAGATTTAGTTAATTCATTTTAAACCTGATATATAGTATTTCACTGTATTTTTTATAAACCCAGTTTGTTTATTATTTTTAATGAATATATATCTAGTAATGAAATTGCTGTTTAAAATTTTTTTCTGATGTTGCATTTGTACATATAAAATTAAGGTTTTACAAATTAAAGTATATTAACTGTTACCTTATAGATTTTTAAAATAACTATGCGTTGTATAGTTTGCTTTGTATAAAACTAGTTACTCAATTCAGGACTTTAAACTAATAACATTAATATCAGTAGTTAGAGCTAACGCTTAACATAGTGCTAGGTGTTTACTCTGTACTAGATTCTGCTAAAACTTTTCATGTATTTGTATATATTTTGTCATTTCATCCTCACCACAACAAGATGAGTTAACCAAGGCACACTTGCCTAAGCCCACTTTGCTAGTAACGATAGTGCTGATATTAAACCCTGGCACACTGCCTTTTTTCTTGCTTTTTGTCATAAATTAACAAATATAAAAATTGCCTCATTAATACACAATAGTCATATTAAGCCTTATGAGTTGGTGGTTGGATGTCAGAATGGATGTAATTTTTACTCAGATTGATTATCAGGCTTGTCTCTCCTAGTGGAGGCAAATCCCAGTTTTCCATGGGATTTTGTCTTTTAAGCTTCGATTGTAAGTCTGGTCGCTTGGTAAACTTTGTGTCATGTTCTATCTCCCTTAGAGCCTTTAGGGCCCTCAAGAGCAGCACTGTGTCTGACTTACCTTTGTGTCCCTGTGTTAGTGTCCAGTTGAGCTATTTGGCCCCAGAAGTCCCTATACTAATAGTGGTGTGAAATCTCACTACCATGTGTAAGGCTGTTTTGATGTGTAGAGGCAGTGTTTACTGCTCCAGCTTATAATGTTAGAAGCACATCTTCCCTTAGAGTAGGTCAGGGACTTCCTTCACTTGCCACTTGGGATTCTCTGGTGCTCGGAAGTGAAGCCGAAGAGTCCTGAAGGACCGGGCTATGGTGACGAAGCTGCAGAGTGGGTCTGTGTACACTTTCCGCCGCTTTAAATCCCTAAGACCTTTCTCAGGCCAGATTTTTTAGTCCTTTCCTTTTTTAAACCTCAGCAGTTAGCCCTCCTGCTTCCTTCTCTTGCTCCTACTTGTTGCATCTCTCCCTGAACTAAGCACACGTCTCTCCCTCCTGTGGGTTTCCTCCACTTCAACTCTGAAGATGCATATTGGTGATGCATCAGAATTGCCTGGGGTGCTTGCTTGTTCCAGTGCAAAGTATTGCATCCCACCTTAGACCTGCTGAATCAGAATCTCTGGGTGATAATCTGGTGATATAAAAGTTTTTAGTTTTTTAATATGGAAGTTACAAACATATCCAGATACAGAAAAAATAGTACTATTAACACATCTCTGTTGCCCAGGTGTATACCAACCATTGATTCATTAGCCACTCTTCTATGGTTCCTCTCCCACCTACCCCTGATTATCTGGAAACAAATCACAGATACGCTTTTTTTTTTTTTTCTGTAAATACTGCAGCATGTATTTCTAAAAGATAAGGATTCTGTTTTTCTAAGCGGCTATGTGTATTTTTCCTCCAGCTTTTTATTAAAAAAAAATTTTAGACCTATAGAAAAAATGTAGCAGTGAATATCTCTATACCCTTTTCATAGGTTCTCCAATTTTGCCTTAATTATTGATCTTACTATGTATATGTGTGTGCGTGTCTTATATATATTTTGTTGTTAAACTATTTGAAAGTAAGTTGAGACATCATGATAGGTCCCCTCCAAATATTTCAGCTTATTTCTCGTAAGAGCAAGGACATTCTCCTATTACTGTTACAATATCATACTTTGAACAATTCCCCTAAATGTTCAAAGAATGTCTTTTATAGCTTCTTTTTAAAAAGAATCACACATTATATCTGATCTAGAACAGTTCCTCAGTCTTATTTATTTATTTTAATCTTTCATGACAGTGGTATTTTGAGTTTAGATCATTTGTTTCACAGAATATCCCTGAATTTGAATTTGTCATATTGTTTTATCATGATTAGATTCCAGTGAGATATTTTGGCAGAAAGAGTATGTAGGTAAGATGTTCTTCCTAGGATATCACATATGTCAGCTTATCCACGGGTAATGTAAAGCTGGTCACCTGTTTACTATAGTGTCTGCCAGGGTTTTCCATTGCAAAGGCTCCTGTACCCCTTTGTAATTAGCTCTCCATCGATGATTCTTACCTGAATCAATAATTATAGTAATGGTTGGTCGTAGAGGTGGGTGTCTTCGGTACAAAGGGCTAAAGTAAGATTCATCTGTAGTTTAGGAGAACACTCAGTGTTGGTTTCCTGGATATTTTGTTATTAGAACCACTGTGGGCAGAAATAAGAAAGTAAGAGGCTAGGAATATTGTTCATGTGAAGTCAGGTAGAGGGTGGAGTACCTGTATGTGTGTGTGAGGCAACAGAGAGGGGATCCTATTCCTGTCCCCCTGTCTTGTGTTGCTGTAGCCCTGCAACAGGGCTGTTAGAGATTGGAGTCAGGGAAGAGTGAGGAGAAGTCTCAGGCATCGTGGCCATGACGGAATGCTGAGTTCCATGGCTGCTTGCCTAGAGCTGTATCATCCAGTTGGCCTGTCTGCACCTGACAGCAACCATCATAATCTGCAGTGAGGGTCGTTTTCACCATGAATCATGATCAGATTTGCTTATCTTTTCCAGTGGGTGAATTCGTAAGTGACGTTCTGCTAGTTCCAGAAAAGTGCCAGTTTTTCCACAAAGAGCGGATGGAGGTGTGCGAGAATCACCAGCACTGGCACACTGTAGTCAAAGAGGTAAAACAATAGATGGGAAAAGTCAAGTGTTGTTGTTGTTGTTGTTTTCTGTTAAGAGAGAAAGTAGCATTTTCCTTCAAACCTCACCACAATTTTAAATTAATTTTCTTCATTTTCCCTTTCTCCCTTCAAAGTTTACAGTTGTATCTTCTAAATTAAAAATGATTTGGGAGAATAGATATTTTTCTAGGGAAGTATAGTGTTGACAATCTAGCATCTAAAGTTAAGGATATTAAAAAGATCGTTAAGCAAGAATGCTATCAGCATGGCTCCCAGAAGGCCATCCTAAACCCTAAGGCCTTAGGTAAGAAAATGCCAATTATAGAAAAATCTGTGTCTGGACACATATGCTGACAGGATTAGATGTGGTTTTATTCTTCTAGTAGAGAGACATAATACCCTTTCTGAATGCTAGTTAAGTTGGTTCTCTAATCAGTTGTCTTTCTTTGGTCAAATTCTAAAGCAGTGCCCTCCCTTGCCAGTGAGGAATATAAATTATCATTGAGCACCTCTAACTGGTGTCGATAATTACTAGAAGAAATTCCCTTTTTCTTAATTTTTTCAACTTTTGGCTTTCATTATTTTTGGCCTCAATGATATTTCCCCATTGTAAGTTAAGCAAAATTTGTAAATCTTCTTAAAATAATAACATCACAACTTTTTCACAATATCTGTGTGTCCATGGAAGAAAGCATTACGTAGTGATTTGCTAAGAGTTTCTTTTGGATAAAGCTAGATATGTTCTGATGCTGGCCTATGGGTTTCTTTCAGGCCTGTCTGACTCAGGGAATGACCTTGTACAGCTATGGCATGCTGCTGCCCTGCGGAGTAGATCAGTTCCATGGCACTGAATATGTATGCTGCCCTCAGACGAAGATCATTGAATCTGCCATGTCAAGAGAGAAGGAGGAAGATGACGAGGAGGAAGATGACGAGGAGGAAGAGGAAGACTATGATATTTATAAAAGGCGAGCCCTTGTACCGAACCTGTGAGACTGTCGTCCTGGTGGCTGTGGGCTACTGGTCTGTCATTTCTGGGTGAAGTGGGCACTGCCTCATTCACGCTGGAGCTGAGCCAGTTTGTGTTCCATTCTAGCCAGAGCCGATCATGGCATACCAGTGGCTTTCAGCTTTGTGTTATTCTGTGCCACATTATGTTCTACAGGGTATTGTGGTCCCCATTCATTAACTTTCCTTTTGCTGGTGTAGCGGGGCTGACGGCTTTAGTGGCACAGTTAAATGTGCGCTGAGTTTATTTCCTGCTTCTCTTCGTGTATGTTTCAGAATAGGAAAGGGAATCATTGTAGTGCTTGGTGCATAGGAATTGGTTAACCTTCCTCTTTTTTTGTGACCTTTAGTGAATTTCCTACCGAAGCAGATTTGGAAGACTTCACAGAAGCAGCTGTGGATGACGATGATGAAGATGAGGATGAAGGGGAGGAAGTAGTGGAAGATCGTGATTACTACTACGACACCTTTAAAGGTGATGACTACAACGAAGAGAATCCAACAGAACCCAGCAATGATGGGGTCATTTCAGAAAAGGAAATCACTCATGATGTCAAAGGTAACCCGCTGTAGCGCTGTGGAAGTACAATCTGTATGGTAATTATTTATTTAGAATTTTGGACTGTATTCATCACAGGTAAGTCACAGAAGGCGAGGTAGTGCTTCTGTGCTCTAAGGGAGAAATCAGCTCTCCAGTACTCTGGTGGTGCCAGCTTAGCAGTGGGCAGCTAGGCCACCTCAGGGTCTGCCAGTTGTCATGTCCAGAGAGAGATGCAGAACTGAATCAGAAAACTAAGCTTTGCATTGTAAGGACTTAACTGGAGAGTAAGAGAGACAGCGTGGTCTTCCACATTCAGCCTGAAAACATTCTCTCCCCAGTGGGAGCCTGCCTCCTCAGTACTGCTAAAGTCCCTACCATCTGGAATGGAAATAACTTTCTTGGTTGTTCTTTTCCTGAGTGTGTTCTGATCTAAAGGCTGCTGTATTTATCCACTAGAAAGGTGTTCGTAGCTGGGAGGGATTGGGACCAGCAGTGTTCTCATCTTGCCAATTTTTAAAAAAAGATTGTGACAGTTCTAAAGCCATTTATACACAACTTC